AAATATTCAACAATTAATAAAGTCAGCCATTATTATCGCATTTTAACTCACGCAAAATGATCTTTCAAAGTCTTTCGTGTAATTATTAAAAAGATAGCGCACGATTCGCGTTCTTCGCCTCCTCTTTCTCATTCGGGATATTAACCTTCTTTGCACTAGGCTCGTTTTCACGATAGATAGGTGTGGTCGCCGACTATAGACAGGACGCCTCGCGAAAACGACTACTAAAAAAACTGATATTTAAAAACCGCCGTGTGTGCACGCACACACACACACACTCGTAATGTCGCGTGACATTGCGCCCTTTATAGCGCGCGCGTGATATTTTTCAGTTGAGAGACTCCGGGCTCCTAATGTCACGGTGTTTGATCAACATCGATGTTCGCGCGATTAACGACTTCCAATTTTCAAATGACGAATTCAAATGATGAAATAAAAGCATCGAATGTGTAACAACGAATCATTCGGACGGAAGAAAGAATTTCTTTTCTAATTATATACATTTCTAATTATTACATACAACGTCGTAGATTGTCGTCGCGCGAAAGCTCGTTTCCTAGTGCTCGTTGTCATACTTTTCGAGAGCGCATTATACGTGAAGAAGAATAACACGTATATAACTATGCTCTTTGCGACTCCTTTATGCGGCCGTGTGGCAAAACTCCGGAATAATCTGAAAATTGGGCTAGTCGGCGGCTCCGATGTGTTTCAGACCGCGCGAAGAAAGGAAACAAGAAAAAGAAAGAAGTAGTTGTCAAGGAGAGACAAGAAGATACAACCCCAAAGATCACACAGAGGGTGAAAAGAACAAGAGATCATTGTTTTGTTACTTACGGCCGAGAGAAGTATGTTTATTTTTAACAACAAGAGACTTGGCAACGAGGAAGACTAGAGAAAGACTAGAAGAGGATATTCGCTTCGTGCCGCGTTGTGATTTGACGAAAAAATTGTCGTCTTTCCCTTTTCTTTTTTTTTTTTTCTTGATTTTTTTCAATGCAGTAAAGTTTGAAAAAAAAAAAAAAATGACAATTTCGCTATTTTACGCTCGATCGTCAAAACGAACGTGTTGATATCATTATCGCGACATTTATAGCGAGTTCATGCGGAATCGATCTTCAAACGTGACCCATTTAAAGAGCCAAAGTTTATAGAACAGCTGTTTTGCGAATATCGGAATAGATGATTATTATACAATACGGTTAAACACACACGTAAAGTAAAATTTAATAAATGCACATATTTTATGTGTGTATCGACAGGTCGAACAATTGATTACGCTAATATCTGGGTGGTTAAAGATAGGCATTGTGTCGCGTTGTTGAAAGCCTTGAGAAAAAATCGATTTATTTTTCGCATTTTTTCAAAAGTGTATACGTTCGGATTATTTGTCAAAATTTTTATTTCAAATTCGACATCTCCAATTCTTATAATATAGTTATATGAATGTGTGGCGAAATTTGCGCTGTGAAACGCGCGCCCTCTTATACACGACTTCTGTGTATTGTTATAATAGTTATATATATTGTGTAACAAAAGTTTGAAGTCTTCTCTTTGTGAGTTTTTTTTTTTTTTTTTTTTTTGAACAATTTTGCTTTCAGAGATGTTTGTCATGTAAAAAAAAAAAACGCGTTGTGAAAAACATGATTCGCGCTTCGACAACCGCTGCGGTGTCATACCGCACATGAATAGTGCAAATAAAACTACGTGAACGTATAAAGCTGGTACACTATTGATGACAGAGAAAACCTTCGTTCGCATATATATAATTTGTTTGTTCGGACAAAATTGATAAAAAAAAATCAGATATATTTTTCGGTCATATTCAATCTAACATCTTTCTTTAAGCCTTATAATTAATCGGTTAGAGTTTTAGCGAAAAATAATTAATTCGAGTTGAGTCGTACCTGTTGCAAGAGGAACCGAAATGGTTCCGATATTCGTGCGTGGTGCTCCTTCTGTTTGACACGCGTTCGCGAATGCAAAACCAACCGGACTGATTTCCTGTTGCTGTTCGTCGCCAGGACTCCGGGCGTCACTGTCACGTGATAATCACCGTTCGACACGTTAATCCTTTCGCGGTCCGACGTCGATTCGCGATCCGATCGCACGCACATACGCAACTCCGGTGCGCGAAGCTATCGCAACAAACATATTTCCTTATCGCGACTTATTCGCGTTCGTCGTCAATAAAAAGCAACGCGATAAATGATACGCGCGCGTATTTCGCGCACGCAAAAAAACGTGACACACGTGTCGTCGCGCTAACCTTTCACGCGCGATGTCCGATGTTCGCGATTTTCGTCGGGTATGGGGTATGGGTTTTCGTCGCAGACCCCTCTGTCGCACGTGTATAAACGCGTCCTTCGTCGGCGACACCAAAAATGATTTTAAAACTGCGGTTCAGCGGACGAAGAATAAAGCGCATGCGGCGGCATCGACTCCGGCTTTTCCACAGAGACAAAGGGATGGTCGTCCTGTGGCGCGACGAACAAGCTAATCTGACAGGAGAGGAGTAGCACGCGCACCCTGGCGCACCGCGCACGTGCCTGCACGCATTCAAGGGCGCCTCATAAACGGGTCTCGACTACTGACACTCGAGAGAATCAGTTGTATTGTTATTCGCATCACTAAATTTAATTGCGCGTTACATTTACGCGGCTAATTGCGAATTAAGCACGCAGCACGATACAAAAAAAAATTATCAATTCAAACTTTAACGAAGTTCCGAAAGAAAAGTGAGATATAAAACATTGTAAATTTTGTATAAATAAAATACCTTGTACAAAATATTATTGTATAAAAATATAATATATAGAAAAAGAAGTATAATACATATATTTAAAAAAATTTTTAACTTACATTAGAATCAATTCTACTGGCAAATAAAAGCGACGACGCGAATTGTCAGCAACAATCACAATGTTGGTAGATTGGCAGCAATTGTGTAACGCGAAAAGTCGCATATTAGCAGCAGATTGTTGCATATTTCACACACACCTAATGCCGTCCTCTTAATGACGATGTCTGTTTTTTTAACAAATGCAACAAAATTGTTTGTCTTCTTTCTTCTTTGTTATGTTTTTTGCAAAGGTGTGTTTAAGCGATTAAAAAAACGCAATGAATTCCCGGGAAGAAAAGAATGAAAAAATAGGAAGAGAAATCTTGAACATCAGGGACGTAGGTAGCGCGCTTTAAACTCTGACACGATAAATTGTTGCGACATATACACGTAATGGGACAGGTTCGCCAACTTCTCGATAGTTCCGTGTGTATATGGTCAACTAGAAAATTAACTCTTTGCAACAAATAAAATACAATGGGAGCGCGCAAGAAGAAATTAAAACAACAAGCGAATTGGCCAATCGCAAGCGAGCGATGTAGAGAACGTCTGGGATGTTTTTCTTCTAAACTCGCCTGTGTGATTGATCAATTCGCTTGCATAAAGTTGTTTTTTTGTGCGACCTTATATAGATCGCTCTCGCGTGACGCCGTTTTGTACTTTGTGTTGTGAGTACATCACGGGAAAAACGACGTGACGTCATTCTGTTCGTACGTTTGAGCGCGCTACGTTTTCGCTTATATCGATACGAACGTGAATTATCGATCGCCCGCGAGGTCGTAATACGTACAATCCACCTCCGTGGCCTCGTCAGTTCGAAACTAAAGTTTGTTTTATATACCGCACGGCCCTTCCACCCCTCTCGAATGATATACAAGAGAGAGCATTGCTCATCTTACGACTGTTGCACACATGAACTTGACGTTTGATTTCTTCGTTTGTTTATTGTAGTTTCGCGAATCGCGCGACAGCCAAATTTTGAGAAGCAAGTTTTACGCCCGACAAAAAAAAAGTCACTCATCCTTGGTAAAATGAACAATATATGTATGTAGCGAATGATAAATGAGTTTTACGTCTGTTGTGTGACATATCGCGCGCGCAAAGATTGTCACTCGCAATACATTACGCGGTCACTTACGTAGCAGGTACGTACAATTTTTTTTCGATCATCAGATTGCGCCAGCGTATTGTTCGCTTTTAAAATTTCGCCGCCGTGTTTGCTTCGTTAATTTAGCATACGTGAAAAAGTTAGATCACCATGTTAACACGAATATTTTATTTCGCGCTTTCAAGGCCGCGATTGTCCGGTGATGCCGGCTTACATCATCGATCAGCTTCGTGTGGTCTTGATATATTTCTTTCAAAGTGCAGTCAATCGCGTAACAATGTTGTTTGTTTTCAAAAAAAAAAAAAAAAAAATATATATATATATATATATATATATATATAATAATTGTTTTTGTGATAGCGTTTTAATCGAATATTACTCGATGAAGCGACTCGCTGCAAATGACGTGTAAAACGTTTAGGCCAGGAATTCTTTATTATGTTTTAAAATAAACAATTGCTTATTTTTCAGTTATACAATGCGCATATATAACGGCACATACAAGGCGTATATGCTATTTTTCTTCGTGAAAGTCAAGCAGAGAGATAATTATTGCACTTTTATTGAGCGAAGATTCACAGTGTACAGAGTACGCCATATTTATCTTCTGTATCAAGATTATATCTCGGTTTCGTGCTACGTTTTCACAGTATTGTATGTATTCCATCGTCACGCGTGACATTATCTTCATTCAGAATATGCATCTAGGCATCGTCTACGTTGCGCGATACCATACAAGTAAAATTTCAGAGATTAAACGGTGTAGATAATTGTGTTATAAAAATTTCCTTAGATTAAAAATATGAGTTACAAGTTTGTGAGTTACAAAAAAATTGAGTTACAAGTTAATCGTTCACACAAAATATGTTCAAAAAAGCCACATCGTGGCTGACTGACTTTCGATAAGTGTAGCTATCCTAAAGTTTTTCATAATATATATGTAAAATATAATGTAAATGCTATAAAAGCTGTTTGTTATTTCATTTTAGTTCATTTTATATAATATTTTTATATAGTATATAATATAGTTATACGCGCGTGAGCGCGTTTTACAATATATTTCTCTTACAAAAACGCAGAGCAAAATAGATTTTTTAGCTTAAAAGCATATATTTCCAATTTTTTTGTGCGTTTTTAAAGTTCTTACAGGCCAGTAAAAGCAAACTATACGCTTCAACAACTTATTAAAAAATAATCTCGCAAAATAATCATCTTCGTTTTCTTTGTTATTGTCGTTTTCTTTATTACTGTGTTGGTGCAAAATTGTATACCGGGTATCTTGGCGCGAAGCGATTGGTCAGCCCGTAAATATATTCTGATTCTTCGCGATCGCGAAGATTTCTCGCGCCGTACATCGATTCCTCGAAAGATGGCGGAGCTGAAAAACATAGAAAACAATTACGATAAAACAACAATTAAGTCAATGAAAAATTATTAATTGTATTTTTAATCTTACATAAATTTGGATAAAAATGAGACTCCGGCAACGGAGGTAGTGCAGTATTCGCCGAAGGTACGACGAAACCGACGGGTGATTTTGTTGGATAATCACCAGCCATATCAGGAGGTGGGGCACTCGGAGCATGATAAACAGCAAGCGGAATTGTCCCTACAAATATCGGTGTTTTGGCGGACAAATTCCGATGATACCTGCGCAAAGACATTATCCTATATTAGCATAAGAGTATTTAATTGCTAAAATAAATAACAAAATTAAAAATATAAATATATTAAAACTTAACAATAAATTATTTTCTTTTTCAATTAGTTTATATATTTTAGTAACGTAACTAATATGTAAACTAAAATTATCTAAAAAAATACTGACCATCCTTCAACGCACGCTTCCACTTTCAAGTTATATTCGAGATCAATAATGTGGCAGTTAGTGAGGTTTGACGGTGGAACAGGCGGAATGTCTAACTGCTGCTCGTAATTGGTTTCACCGTTTTCGAACGGTCCTTTGCTGACTTCCCTCACTACAATTTCTTCCGTTCTAGTGTCTGTTCGCGGTGTCGTAGCATGAAAGGTCACGATCTGGACTTCACGATATGTAATTACTTCTTGGCAAGAGAGAAATGGGCATCAAAACTGTCAACTTCAAGCACCATAGAGCCACGTTGCCTCTCAAACGGCTTTAATGTGCCATTTCGAAGTTTTATCACGAAGCAGAATTGCTTACCTTGCAAAGTATAAGTTTTATGTTATTCACAACGATATTGGACAGATTCTGGACGTTTATTTTTATCGGCATCGACTGTCCGGGAACGTACCCTCGAACTGGCAGAGAGAAGTTTACAGTCAAAGATGGTGTGGCGCAACACAAACACCAAAATGTCTTATTCATTTCTTCTTGTACGGATTCCTGAAAGTATAATTATCTATATTTTGTTCGAACATATCGTCAGAATATGTATTTAATAACTTTTCATGTATAACACGTAATACTAACAGCCGCTCTTGGTTCTTGATTCAAGTCGAAGGGCAAAATAACTGTAAACGGACTCTTGACATCTTGGTCGAACTTCCAAGGTCGATCTAACGTGGCTTTCACGGTATAGCGAACATATCCAAAGTCTGATTCAAAGCTGCTTGGCAGATTTGGTGGTAAGGTACAAGTAAACGGAAATTTATGTTCTCCTGCTTGTATCTCGATTTCTCCACCTAATAAAAGAACAGCTTATACAATACAAGGTGGTTTTTCATTATTTAAAAAGAGTAAGCGAACTTATGGAAAAGAGGAATTAGTAGATTTGACTGTATTTGAAAGACAGTCAGACACCTCACCCGAAGCTGATCCAACCAAGTAGTACTTAGTCTCGAAATATTCTTCGTGCCCTTTGACAGTTTCGGTATCATTCTGGAAGTGTCCTCTTTCATCTATTTCTTTTTTGTCAGTCGCCCAATAAGTGTTTGCCTCACCTTTTATTTTTACACTTATACCTGTTACATAGACAAGAGTTATAAATGTTACGAGTAAACTCTAGAAAAGAACGTACGCTTAAGTTATAGAAATCAATTTTTATGTTTTAAATAATACAAGTTTTCTTTCTTTATTTCTTTAACAAATGTCTCTCTTCCCTTTTCTTTTTGAGGAGAGACAATATTAGCCACTCAACAGTGGCGATACATATTTTGCGAGAAAACACATGTAGTTGTGTTCTATAATTAATCCACAATACACGAGAGTAGGAGCGAGAAACAATTTCTGGAATTTAAAAACTTACGTGCGCTCTTCTCTCACAATCCTATAAGTGTGATCTATCAGATCTCAAACTCACCTCGAATCTTTTTCGTGCTATTTAGAACAACGATGATATTTCCGTTTACGGTCTGCCCGGGATAATACGTGCTCCATTCGTTGTCGTATACTATTCGAAAATCTTTCAGACCCATGTCGAAAGTTTAGGAACTTTGCGTGTTACGATCTTTCCGACAACACCTCTTCTTCTCGGTTGCTTCAACGCTCACCGATAGTCGATACTGAAAATATATAGCCTTTGGTACCACTCGGCAGCGTTAATATTTCTACATTTTAAGTTGCAGCATTTCTGGGCAAAACACAGTCCGTGCCAGTTCGTGCGCACTGTGTGTCTAGACTATGAATGACTATGAATACGTAGATCAATGTAGATCAATGACGCATCGCGAGCGGGAAGAGTTCTTTGGGGAAGCGACAAAACATTTTGACACTCCCGATGTACATAGCATAGCAGTTTGACGTATTCACATGTTTTACTGACACACGGTGTGTGCGCGCGATAAGGTTATAACAAGTTATAAAAGTTAACTTTTTCTACCAAGTCAACTTTTTTTTTCCAGCTTTGTTCGGTACTTTAGCATTTATGTGTTATTGTTAAATTATAGTTATATCGTATATATATATATAGACAAAATATATATTTTTTGTAATATGTAAATTTTTTATATAAATCAATAATTTACTTTTTTCAGAATAAAAAATTGCGTTTTTATATCTGGTTTATCAGTAATCAAAAAGTAATTGTTATAATTGTCACTTCTCTGGAAATGTCAAAATTGTTTACAAAACTTATATCGACGTTTGGAGCGCATCAAACTATCAAGTTAAGAATTGTGTTGTTTATTGTCGATATAACCGAACAATCGGTTAAAATCGATCGAATATTCTATAAACAAATATTAGCATCACATAAGTAACTTACGTAACTATAATCTTCTATTTGTTTAACAGCAGGTTAGATATCGTGGAAGAGATATCGTCTGTTGAAGTATGAATTTTATCAGTGTCTTTATTTTCACGTGTGTGTCGTATCAACTTGCAAAAGGGTAAGATTACATATGTTTTTTTTTAATACATGTGTGTAGAATAAGGAGTGTACAGTTCCGTAAATATTAATTTTTTCACATATAATACATTTATATATAATAATTGTAATTAGGAAGATGATGCTGTTCGATTTTACAAATGCGCAAAGCGTGGACGATTGGCGGGAAATGTCCGACACCGTCCGAACCGTAGGAAAATCGAAAGCTGCGTTAACGCTGCAAACAAGTCAGCTTTTTCAGCGAGCAGTCTTCTTCACGTTGCTGAATCCACAATCAAATGGAGCTGGTTTCGCCGGTGTTAGAAAGATGACAAATCTCGATTTGTCCGGATTCAAGAATATCGAGATAACTTGTCGAGCGCAGGGGCAAAATAATCATTACAAAATATGTCTCAGACACCGAGGGCAGAACTCAGATGTGGATTTCAGCTACGAACAATTTTTCACGGTGAAAAGTTTTTAAAATTAAATGTTTTTTACGACTTATTGTTTTTTTTTTTTTTTTTTTTTTTTAAAAACATTT